CAGGCGAAACTATATTTGTTGCTCTGATTATCACATAGCCTATATATCTTCAACCAATCTCATATTATGTGCCATAGTTAAGTATGGCATTATTTTAACATTCTCAGGTATAATACATTCCCAAGTTGTTGGAAATAAAACTATTGGTTTGATTAGGAGCCCTGTTACCAAATATAATCGTCGAGCCCGGTCAGTAGCTTCAAATAAAGTAGGTGGGAACTATTAATTGCAAAAAATGACACATCTAACACTATCTGATGGAGGAATTGGCGAAGAGATTAAAGAAAATCTTAGCTTGTTTGCTAAAATTTTGTTCTATTTAAATTAGATATGAGCTATAAAAAATGAATAAAATGTAATGAAAAATTAACTCCTATACATTGTGGTTTTGTTTTTTTCCTAACAGCAAAATTGGAAAATAATAGACGAGCAAGATCTATAGTAAATAGTTTGAAAACTTCGGCGAGGATACATGCTTTATAGCTGATTATATCAGGAAGGAAGAAATATCCACTTTGGTAAATCCTTCATCGACCTTAAGGTTCTTTCATAGTCCCCGTTCTGTCATTGGCTTTTCACGGTCCTTGTGTATCTTTTAACCACAAAATTCACGATGGAAGTAGAAGAGGGTGAGCAGTTACCGTTCCTGGACTTTGAAGTGATTCGCTTTAATGGGACGCTCAAAAAGAAATTGTTCAGAAAAAAGTTCCATGATGGGATAATACTCCATTTCCGGTCCCATCACAATTACAGGCTAAATATTGGAATAATGAGGAGCATGATTATCCGAATCCTACGTCTAACGGATGTAGAAATCTGGGACGAGGAGCTGGACAAATTGACTATGTTATTGCTCGGCAATGGCTACCCAATCAAGTTATAAAAATAAAAATTCTGGCCGTGAAAAGCCGAAGGCAGAACGGAGACTATGAAAGAACAGTAAGGACGGATAAGGATTCATAAAAGTGAATATGCCTACCTTCCTGCAAACTAACTAAAAAACTAGGGCCAATATTGAGTAAATAGAATATTCAGATGGCCATGAAACAGAAATCAACACTTTTCACAAGTCTACCAACGCAACATGAAAGGTTAGACAAATTGGACTGTTCAAGAGTTTACGGCATATCATGCGGCGGCTGCGGACAGAAATATATTGGCGAAACAGGGAGAAATATTAGCAGAGGGATCAGGGAATATCAGAGGCTCTGCAGAAAAATGGATACTGAAAGATCAGAACTATCGGAATACATCACACAGACTGGGCACGAGATCAATTGGAAAGCAACAGAAAGAAAAGCTCCATACGGTGACAACACAAGGAAGCAGAAGATTAGGGAGGCAGATCTAATGAACAGAAGGTTGGAGGAAGGTAGAGTTAGCGATAATTTTGCCTACTGCCTAGGCAAACTCGCGGAAAACAAGAATAGAGCAAGACCAGCAAAAAAGAGACGCCTGGATCAAGGAGCTACCGCTAACCGGAGGAAAAGGGATTGCGATGAAGAAAGTGGGGGACAGAGTTTTCGGCAATAAAGCGAAGACGTCGTCAGTGAGTGATGTCCGTTTCGAATAAACCAGTAAATCTTTGGGTGCCTGGCAGTCACAGAGCTGGGCATACGGCTAAGTAAACCGTCACGGAAATTCGGCGCAATGGCCAAAATGTACTAGAAATCCACTTGAGATGCCGCATACGACCAGAGATATGCGTCCACATTTCACTCAGATAATATGGGTTTAATCAAGGGGAGGAGCCGTGAAGGGAAGACATGATATCTGCAAGCATGGGAATCAGAGCTTAGCCACTCGGCTCAGTGAAGCGGTAGTTTACCTGCTTTTAGGGCCTTGATAAATAACGCCTAGAGACTGGAACCGAGTGAAATCGGTCAGTCAGAAAGAGAGAAAACTGATCCACAAGACAATGATGGGATCTGGATTGGAGGCCCGAGTCGGATCAGCCGATCAAAAGAAAAGGGGTCAGGGTGAATAGCAAGTGTGATGAGGCCACACTAGATTTGCCACAAAAGGGCATATATTTTGACTAGTGAAATTTAAACAAGTCAGAAGTTGTGATAGGGTGGCAGTGGTATAAGAGGGTAAAGAGTAGATAGATAGAGAAGGACAGAAAGAGGAGTGATAAGGTAACCATTTTCGGCGAGGGGTTGACTTCACTTGTCTCTTTGATGAGTTCGCAGCTTGGTACGGAGAATGACAAAACTCACTGATGGTGCCAACTACGATGTCGGCAAAACGTTTGAGAATGTACCAATTCCATTGTCTCGTGCTGAGAATCATGACAACTACTATGGCAGACGACTTTGGACCAGCTGCGTTCTACTAAAACGTTCTGACCACAAGACCAAATTGCGACAACGAAGTCAACCAACTTCTATAAATCGAAAGGAGACTGAGACCATACCAGAGGCCACAATATCTTGGCCTTCATTACTCGATAACTATAGTCTATATCACTAAAATAAAATGATAACCACTCAAACTAAATAAGGTTAGGGTAATAAAATTGAAAAAAGAATTAACGACGGAAATTTCTATCAACCAAATTTGTCTGGCATATCTACAGAATTTTCTGAGGCATACAAAATTGTGAAGTCCATGCCATTAAAATATTATATAGCACTTCTAATACATTAAAAACAAAAGAATCAAAGCCAAAAATTTGCATTAAGGTAAATAAAATAGTTTGAAGGTTATTATGGGTTTTCAGCTGTGCATATCTATTTGTAAAGTTTGCTAGGCCCGTGGGAGCATAAAATCTGGCTTTGGCCAGAAAATCGTATTAACCAGCTTGGGGGACTATGTGCCAAAGATTTTTTATAACCAACTTAGTCGTGCGGTTATGGAAAATAAATGTAAGCCTGAAGAATTTTTTACTGGGTTCCTGATGCTGCCAACATAACAGTCCTATCTATAATAATGCGATAAAATAGATAATAATTACTCGACAAGGTGCAAATTTGGCCATGCTGTGCAGAGGTGCCAAAGACCCGGAGAAGATAACAGCTGCTTGTTCCGGCCCGAAGTTTAGCGTAGTTACTGAAACCGGTGGTAGGATACCGGACTCGCTGAGGCTTGCACTTTTACTTATAGCATTGTTTCTGACTGCATCTTCACTGCTTGCTCTGACATCATCGTCACCTACACTAAGTGCTCCAGCTAATGCTACTGCGTTTGCATTTGAGACTATATGTGGTGTTGCGGGTGTCGGCATTAGTGTAGCCGGTTTTGCAGAGGTAGAGGCATCTGCTGAAGAATATGGCTGGTCGGAACATCCTTGAGTCTCAGATGAAGCTAGATTCTTGAGACTAGATACAAGTTCAGTCACCTGCTTTCGATACTGTGCTACGAGTTCAGCAGCTTGGCTTCGACTCAAAGTGGCAACAAATAGGTTTCCACGTATCCTGAGTGTTCCCAATGAAGTTATCACGCCCGGAAAGCCATCAATCCGAGCAGCCTTTATAAAGTAAAGGAGAAAAGATAAAAAATGCATCTAATTAAAATAAAAAAACTGGTTCAGAAGTTATCGCAAGCAAGGAACTAAACCATACTATTCGATAGTAAACTTATATTTATCAGCAAGAATCTCGATTAAAGAAATACACAATCAATGCAATGATGAGATTTGTCTCGTGAATTTATAGGGAATTTGTGACTATATAACTTGCCTAACTACACACTTTAGGGTTAATAAATCCCACTAAAATGAAGTCATTTAAGTTGTAAATGCACAATATATAGAAGCGTGATGGTGAAATAAAGTCTGGTTTTGTTTTCAGGATGGCTGGCATAGAGATAAGATGCCCGAGAGCAAACTAATAAAATATAAAATCGTGCCGTAATTCCAATAAGATTTAAAAATTACGTTTCTGCCTAGTAGACAAAATTGTACGCAACTGTTTCATCGGTAATCATATGTTGCAACCGAATATAAGAATAATACCACTTGAGAGTAACTACCTCATTTTAACTTTAGGGAAAGCCGTGGAAAGTTATTATAGCTCAAAGCTAAAATTCATCTTAGCTGAAAAAGATTTGGTTATTCAAAAAAGATTAGATTTGGTTAAAGAATCGGACTTGCATTATTCACAATATTTAAGTGGATTATAAGGTTATTACGATAAATATTCACTCTGTCACAATAAATAGCGCAGTATATTTGAAAGTAAGCATTAATATCATAAGTTAAGTCAAAATATTTGGCGATGACACTTTACATGTTATTTTTTACTCCACATGAGATTGATAAAAAACATAAAATCTGGATAGATTATATCAAAATAAAATTTAATTTATAAGATCTAACATGTTTATTAACTAGACGCAGAAGGAGCATTAAATATTAAAAATATATGTCAACAATACAATTTTTGAAGGAATGAAGGCTACAATAGTATGGCATTTTTTATGTTCGCAGTCTTCTTCCTAATATCGATTAAAATATGGAAGTAAGATTGACAAACAATAACCGATTACAGACAGACAAGGCAGACAATTGCTAGTCGATCATGCCATTTTACAATTTTGAATTGTTGTAAACATTATGTTATCGCTCCCTGGTTCTACCACCTAATGAGAAAGTGTCATTCAGAAACGGTTAATGAAATACTTTATCAAGCATCCATCCAGAAATTAGAGGAAACTTACGAGCTAAAGCGGCGTAAGCTATTTAGGTTCAAAGATATTAAGTCTAGATTTGGGAAGGATCTAAGCGGAGTTCTCATTTTGGAGAATTTTAAATAACTCCAGTATACGACTGACAAGAAGTCGCAAATGGCCCGGGAGTTGATAAATAAGTGGCATTACGAGAAATTGCTTAGATATGGAATAACAAGATAGCGCATGATCAAGCCAACCCGGACAAACTTTGATGGTTCTTTATCGAAGACATCAACTGGTACGAACGAAGAGAGGAATAAGGTAGATAGGCTATCTGAGACCCCCTTGATTCAGAAAACATGGATCTCCTAAAGAACGGGTTAAATTTTTCCCTAATTAACGAATGAAACGTGTTAGACTATATTCTTGCGGAATTCGTTAATATATCGGATACAAATACAGAAGAGACAAAGCAGGAGATGGAAATGGAAGTAATCCCAAGAATCATAGCACATCAAGAGCCAGTGCACAGAAGCTGATTGATTGGGATACAAAAGGATTGTAAAAGAATGAGCAAATAGTTATGCAGGCGGATAAGAGAGGAGGGACGATGGTAATGGACAGAAAAGAGAATACGGAGAAAATGGAAAGTATTCTAGGCGACCGAAACACTTATCAAATACTAGGAAAGGATCCAATCATTAGGATTAAGGGGACACTGAAGGATATGCTAAGAATGCATAATAACGGGTAAATCGACAGATGGATGATGAACACTTTAATTAAAAATGACGCAAGACCATCGACAGCCTATCGACCAGCAAAGGTACACAAGGAAGGAAAACCGCTAAGTTTAAGAGTCAACAATAAGCATGGAGCAACACACAAGCTAGCGAAAGTAAATTGCTTAAGGCTCAAGAAAGTAAATGACGGGGTCTCGAATACTATGAAGAATTTATATGAATTTTCTCAAAACATCTAAAAGATTTGGCTGGTGGGGACGGAACTGTTGATAGCTTTTAACGTACAATCCATATCCAAAAACGTCTAGGGCTAGTTGGCTAATAGAAGATGTGTTTATATGAGATTTATTCACCCGATTTCATTTAATGTGATGAAAGACTGGTAATAGAATGTTCCCACAATGATATGAGTAGAACTGACGTTAACATTTATTTTCGCATAGCCTTGTCCTGCCAAAAGTTGTTCTCATCCAGGGTGGCCTGCAGTTTTGACCTCGCCTATATCCTACCAACACCCCCTAGGCGAGGTCAAAACTGCTGTCCATCCTGGATGAGAAGCACTTTTGGGAAAGCAATAATATGTGAAATTCAATGAAAATGTCAACTATACTCATATCATCGTGGGAAAATTCTACTACCAATTCTTTATCACCTTAAACTAAATGGGGTAAATACATCTCATATAACTTATTTACTGATAGTCTCAAAACTATGTTTATATATGAAAAATAAGTAGATGGATTCGTTAACCCATTTCGATTTTAAGACTTAATGCAAACTCAGTAATTATGGAATATTATAAATACATTATAATATAAATATTTTGAAAGATAAATACTAAGCTAATTTTTATTTTATCAGATATTCTGTACTAACGAAATGTATTTCCATAAAAAAATAATTGTGAAACAAAGTATAGAAACGAACTACACAGATAAGGGCAAACTAATAAACTAATCAATACAATTTTTCTTAGGAATTGTTAAATTAAGGATGCTGATGTAAGA